ATCTTGTTTGCATTTGTCAGAGGATTCAGGGAATCTGAGGAGACATGACTGTTAATTTACAGATTAAAACGTTTTACTGAGTCATCTCCAGTCTTTCCTGAGTATTGCATGTAGGAAAATGTGTCCTTAATATGTTTTTAACCTCACATTTATTTATTTACTTACTTATTTATTATGTTGGACATAAAATTAAAATCCTGCTAGTGTATGCGTTATGGACAGGGCATTTGCTTTGTTTTTTATAACTACACGGTCGATTTTTATGAAATTAAAAATTATTTGGTAAATATAATTTTCGTACATATTAAATTGTAAGAATTTCGAATTTTTTAAATTTGTAAGTAAATGATTATTTGTACCTATGAAATGTATAATGGTATGTCTAAAACTATGTGAAACCATAATTACAGCTTCTACTAAGATACATGTTTTAATTCACATATTTAATTTCTTATATGATGAGAATTTTTTTAAAAAAGTTATTGCTGTGGAATGCAGAAAAAGGAGTTGGATTGCCAGAGGCATATTATTAGCAAACACCTTGTTTTATTGACAGGTGAACAATAATACATATTATACTTAATTTCTTGCAATGTTACAATCTATAGGACAACATAACAAGGTGTCTATACTAAATGTCACATGACATATATAAACTTCGTAAAAAATAAAAATACAATAGGAAGCAGTAGACAATCTACTTACAAATGCATTATCAAGATGACAAAATCAATTCTTGATAAAACCATATGGTTTATGGCAAGAAATTATGAAGAAGTGGGGTTTATGAATAACATCAGTCACATTTCTCAAACCAACCAATTTTCTACGCCACACCCAGTTTAAGAAGTATGTTGTTTGGTTTTCTGTCCCCCCTGATTTGTTATGCCACTAGACGCAAACTTATCTTTTTTAATGAGACGGCTTTTCACACACGTGCAGATTAATTTTAGTGACAAAGCACGCGCGCAGTAATTCAGCGTTTATTTCCTGGTCCTAATTAAATGGGGGCAAATTATTAGCATTTCATTTACTGCCTTGAAATTTCTGGAAAAGAATGCCTTCAAAATCTGCAGGCCTCTTTAAAATATGAATTTATCCGATTAATTTCCTAAGTGTTTATTGAAGGTTTCAAAAACTGCACAGGCAATGAAACGTGATGTTGTTCTTCATGGACT